GTGCCATCTGTGTTGTCTAATGGGCTCTTCCATAGTCTCAGGCTGCACATCTCCTATGCTTGGTTACCTGCCCCAGCCCTAGCATCAGGCATCCACCTGGCACCTGTGACATTCAACACGGGACTTGTTCCTGCTTTGTTGTCCCCTGATTTATAAATGCGTGGTGGCTGTGTGCTCCCACACCGTCTCCCCCACCCAACAGCCCTTCTCCTGCCCTCTCTGCTGTCGCTGTGCTCACTCAAATCTGCTTCTGATTCCTCCAACTTTGACTCTGGTTTACTTCTACCATCTCGCTTTTCCTTTTAAAAATATTTATTTATTTATTTTACAGTAGGTTCTCATTAGTTATCTATTTTATACATAGTAGTGTGTGTGTGTATATATATATATATATCAATCCCAATTTCCCATATGATCCAGCAATCCCACTCCTGGGCAAATGCCTGGAAAAAACCATAATTTAGAATGATACACGCATCCCAATGTTCAGTGCAGCACTATTTACAATAGGCAGGACATGGAAGCAATCTAAATGCCCACCGACAGACAGATGAATAAAGATGTGGTACACATACAATGGGATATCACGCAACCATAAAAAGGAACGGAATTGTGCTGTTTGAAGAGAATGTGGATAGATCCAGAGACTGTCATACAGATTGAAGTTTAAGTCAGAAAGAGAAAAGTAAATGCTACATATTACTGTATCGTAAAAATTCTCACAGGCTGAAAATAGCTTTTGCTTCTAGAAATCCATGCTGAACAGGCACACTTTCCCATTAACTACATCTCCTTGAGAAGAAGGGTGTATCTGGCCACCATCTGTTTTGTATTTATCTCACTTCTGTATCCAACTTATCATTAGGAGGACTTAAACAACGTGCACATGCTATTTGTTCAATAAGCAATTTGTTGGACCACCGATAGAACAGACGGGGATTGGATTATATTAAAAGTGAGTTAAACAAAGAGCAATTCTTACTCTCACTCCCCTTTAGTCAAAGCCCCCAAAATTCAAAGCAGGAAGGTCAGCTCCACTAATACTAGTGGTGTGTCTCCTTAGAATTAACAAGAACGCTAATAATATCATAAGCAAAATGGTTGAGTTTTATCTATAAATGTGTTTGAATGTGTTTGAATAAAGAAGTATATTCACTAAAAGTACAGATGACATCTTGCTGGGAAAAGCATGTACGATGGTAAAGAATAAAATGAAGAAACAGGTAAATTAGGAAACAAAGCAAAAAGAAATCAAGGCGTTGGCCATTAAACTGAAAAAAATGCCCAAGAGGGTGGTGGTGTTAAAGCCACAGCCTGAGGTTGGACGAAACTAAAGAAATGTAATAGATAAGAAGAGTCATCATTTGTAATCTTATGTGGTGACAGCAAAATAGTCATTTAGAGCACTGCGTTAAACTCGCCAGTCCATCTTGTATCAAAGATAAGGGAAAAATTAGAAAGGGATGTGTAATCCACACATGGCACTAGTCGTAAAGAACCTGTGTGCCAACACAGGAGACATAAGAGATGTGGGTTTGATTCCTGGAGGAGGGCACGGCAATAACCCACACTAGTATTCTTGCCTGGAGAATCCCAAGGACAGAGGAACATGGTGGGCTACAGTCCACATGGTTGCAAAGAGTCAGACACGACGAAGCAACTAAGCACTGCACATGCTGAAATACAACTCATGCTTTCAGAGCCAGTTAGAAGATGACCGAGTCCCTCAGACTGCAAGGAGATCAAACCAATCAAGCCTGAATACTCATTGGAAGGACGGATGCTGAAGCTGAACCCCCAATCCTTTGGCCACCTGATGTGAAGAGCTGACTCACTGGAAAAGATCCTGATGCTGGGAAAGATTGAAGGCAGGAGGAGAAGGGGGCGACAGAGGATGAGATGGTTGGATGGCATCACCGATTCAATAGAAATGAGTTTGAGCAAACTCCGGGGGAAGAGTGAAGGACAGGAAAGCCTGGCGTGCTGCAGTCCATGAGGTTGCTGGGAGTGGGACATGAATGTGTGACTGAATAAACAGAAGTTGACTCACCTCATGAGCTTTTCAGAACCCACCCCTAAGAGAAAGAATCTCTTCCTCCCCTCTGCTCTCAAATGTCCTTACATAAATGTGATGGAAAAGTCAGAAGGTCTTGATAAAAGAAATAAACCCATTAAGGAGATAGGGAAATAGCACCTAAAAAGGAACATTTAAGGCAATAAGACTGGTTTCGCCTGAACAAAGGAATATAAAGAAACTAGGTTTCTAGCCTAGATCACTCTGGTTTCTCTCTGTGAGTTAAGCTGGTGAACTGGTAACACCTTGCTTCTTGTACTGACTCTAAGCCTTACTGAGAGCTGCTCCTGTGAGGAATACATACTCATTTCACTCTCAGGCCAAGCAAATACAATCAGACGACTGCCTGAGAGCAGATAATGGCTTCTCAAGTCAAATATACCTGGAATATTTGCTTTTCTGTTTTATCTATCACTGTTTCCTTGTCCCAGGCATAGACATCCGAGAGTTGACTGTTCAAGTAGAGATGTCCGTAGCTGTTTTTAGCACAACTAAGACATGAGAAATGGGTTTTAGTGTCTAGTGTAGGTGACACATTGAAACGTAGAAACTAAATGGGTGGATGTTTATTGATGATGGGAAAATTATGTTGGAAAAGGTGGCAAAGAGATCAACATCCTATCTGGAGCTTGTGGTCAAGGTTCTGGGAAACAATTGGCAATATCTGAGGACAGAAAAGCTTGTGTACTCAGTCACTTCAGTTGTGTCCGACTCTTGGTAACCCCATGGACTGTACCCTGCCAGGCTCCTCTGTCCACAGGACCGACCTGCCAAGAATACTGGAGTGGGCTGCCATGTCCTCCTCCAGGGGATCTTTCCCATCCAGGGATTGAACCCTCATCTCCTGTGTCTCCTGCACCGCAGGCGATTTTTTACTCCTAAGCCACCGGGGAAGCCCCAGAAACGCTTACAGGATTATTAAAAAAAAACAAACAAAAAAAAACCACAGGAGACAAGAAGATAAGCAAATATGTCTGATGCGGCAGACAAGGCAAGAGGAGAATTAAATCCTTAGACAGAAAATTGAAATGAGACCAATATACTACAGGTGGAAAAATTATTAAATTTTGAGTTGTAAATGTTTCAAAGAAATTGATACGTGCTTCTGTAGTGACTGTGGAAAGCATTTGTTTGGGGGGGGGAATGCTATATAGTAACTGTAAAAATATCGACAGTGATAAAAACAATTGTTAAATATCTGGAGGTAGAACCATTTTGGCTCAAATTTAAGATTTTAGGATTCCATTTTCAAGTTGAAAAACTGGGATTTAAATTAGAAAATGACTTCAATTTTTATTTCAGTGACCAAATTGTTCCTCCCAACAGTGTCAATAACACAGAAAACTCAAGTTTTCCTTAATTACAGACAGCTAGTAATTAGCTGTGAGTCCCAAAGTCTCATTCCCTCATAAAACAGGAAATGTTGGGTTTATTTGGAAGGAATTTTATAAAAAGGAACTAATTTGTCTTCCCTTTTTAGGCAAAAACTTATTTAGACCCTCTCATTTCATGCATGTCATTTTCTCAGATACACACGGTGGCCATGGTGGTAGCTTAGTCGTTAAACTGTGTCCGACTCTTGCAACCCGTGGACTGCAGCTCACCAGGCTCCTCTGCACATGAGATTTCCCAGGCAAGAATGCTGCGGTAGGTGGCCATTTCCTTCTCCACGGGATCCTCCTGACCAAGGGATTGAACCCGGGTCTCCTGCATTGCAGGCAGACTCTTTACTGACTGAGCCACTGTACCGTCTATGAACACGGCCCAGGTGAATTCTTGTTGCCGGAGTTTCCTTTAAAACTCAGTAGAGAGTTCAGTATTCAGGGTGTAAGTTGAGAGAAAGAAAGGCATCTCCTCTCCACCCCATGCCCTGAAGTTCTCAGTCCAAATGAAAACGATCAACAGCAACACTTGGTCTGGATATTTGGCCCAANGCCGGAGTTTCCTTTAAAACTCAGTAGAGAGTTCAGTATTCAGGGTGTAAGTTGAGAGAAAGAAAGGCATCTCCTCTCCACCCCATGCCCTGAAGCTCTCAGTCCAAATGAAAACGATCAACAGCAACACTTGGTCTGGATATTTGGCCCAAGGGAAGCATCTTCTTGTCTTCGTTGTTCTTAGCACAAAATCCTATGCTCTATTCAACATGAAACCCACAAAGAGCTGGCTCTATTTACTTCCAGATTCACAACTGCATGAGTAAACTAGAGTTGACACCCGAGTACATGGGGAACGGTGTGGGTTAATCTCCTGGCTCTTCATTCACCACGGACATTCATGGTTCTCAGGCAACCAGTGCCAAGATGAAGACACACAACGGGTTTGTAAAGTGTCGGTCACGGGCTTCATGTAACTTGGTTCAGTAGGTGTGTCATTCAACTTTTAGGCCAGGTAAGCTGAGTGGTTTTGAAGTCTATAGGTTCTGAAATCGTGCCCTTAGGGGTTTTTAACACCACCATGAAGGCAGCAGAAATAGAGTTCGAACTCTAAAGGAAGGGGCTTTCCAACCACGGGTCAGTCACTCTGTGTGACCTAATTTTCTTGTTTGATGCAAAGAATGTATGGGTTGCCATTTCCTTCTCCAGGAGATTTTCCCGACCCAGAGATTGAACCTGGGTCTCCTGCATTGTAGGCAGACGCTTTACCATCTGAGCTACCAGGGAAGTCCTAAATCTGATCACATATTAATGAAACTCCTCTCTCTCTGACACAGGGTTTGGGAACCAGAGGCATACAGCTTCCCAGAGAAAGGACATCTCTTTTTTTTTTTGTCCTAGAAGCACTGACAACTCCATTCCTCCCAGCCCTTAAAATTCTCATGATAATAATTACGGAAGAAATCACTTACTACAATAAATACATGTAAATAGATTAAGAGGAACAAGGAGTTGGCAAAGCTGGCTTCTTAAGGGACGACCGACAGCCTTACCTATGAGGGTGTGGAAGACGGCGGCAATGGCCCCGGCCACCACCATGCACAGAACAGCTTTGGTCCTGTCCCGCTTGCTGTTCACAAACACCAGGCCCACGTTCTTGAAGTCACTCATGGGCCCCGTGAAGAACTTCATTAAGGAGTATGCCAGCCCGTAGCTGGCCAGCATCTCCACTGCATCTTCCTTGACAGCAGCGATCCCCCGGTTCAAGGCCTGTGGAGGGAAGAGACCCATAGACAGCGTTAGAAACGTCGTCTCCTCTCCCACAATAAAATGCAGCAGGCTGTGTTTCCATAGGAACGCTAAGCAGCTTATAGGGTAAATCTCACTGTAATTTGATAAAGGTTATTTATTTTCATTTTCATCCATATTAGCTTCAGTTAGAAATATCTTCTTGTGGGGGAGATAGCTGTCCACTATCTCCTATGAAATTCCTGTGAAAGGAATAGAAAAAAACCCAACAAGTGTTCTATGTTAATATCAGAAAATAATTCTAAGATGTTCTGGTTAAAAGGTTAATGTGTTAAATTTTATTTGCAGGCTGAATCTACACAATAGCAACAGGCATTTTGGAAATGGGTCAACCAGTTTATATGGAGTGGGTGATGGGTCCTTTTCTCCCTGTGTGTGTGTGTATGTGTGAAATACTGTACTTATGTATGTATGCTTCAAATCAAAATGTAAGTTCTATGTCATGAAAATGGGTATTGATGGAATTTTTACACCACCTGTGGATGCTATTCACCTGATTCTTACTGTACTTTAATTTGAAATACATTCCTGATCTTTGTGCAGACAAATAGGAAAAGAAAATCTTTAAATACATTGTTTTTGAATAATTCTTGCTGGAGATGTGGCCATAGAATATTCTGTTTTAACCATCCCTTATGAGGGATCACCCCTCTGAGGTTCTAACTTTTCCACCTACTATATGAATAAATTGGGGCCACCAGGGTGCCCCAGTGGTAAAGAATCCACTTGCCAATGTAGGAGACACAGAGCCTCGGGTTCGATCCCTGAGCCTGGAAGATCCTCGGAGGGAAAGAATGGCTGCCCACTTCAGTGTTCTTGCCTGGAGAATTCCATGGACAGAGGAGCTAGATGGGCTACAGTCCATAGGGTTGCAAAGAGTGGGATTCGACTGCGAGATGGAGCACACAGATGAATAAATTAGATCGGAGCTTGTGGGAATGGATGTCTAAGTAGAAGAACTTTATTTAAAAATGTCACCAGATGGCTGCTAGCAAAAAGTCTACAAACAATAAATGCTGGAGAGGGTGCAGAGAAAAGGGAACCCTCTTACACTGTTGGTGGGAATGCAAACTAGTACAGCCACTATGGAGAACAGTGTGGAGATTCCTTAAAAAGCTGGAAATAGAACTGCCGTATGACCCAGCAATCCCACTCCTGGGCATACACCCCGAGGAAACTAGATCTGAAAGAGACACGTGCACCTCAATGTTCATTGCAGCACTGTTTATAATAGCCAGGACATAGAAGCAACCTAGATGCCCATCAGCAGACGAATGGATAAGGAAGCTGTGGTACATATACACCATGGAATATTACTCAGCCATTAAAAAGAATTCATTTGAATCAGTTCTTATGAGATGGATGAAACTGAAGCCTGTTATACACAGTGAAGTAAGTCAGAAAGAAAAACACCCACACAGTATACTACTGCATACATATGGAATTTAAAAAGATGGTAATGATGACCCTATATGCGAGACAGCAAAAGAGACACAGATGCAAAGAACAGTCTTTCGGACTCTGTGGGAGAAGGTGAGGGTGGGATGATTTGAGAGAATAGGATTGAAATATGTATATTATCATATGTGAAAGAGATCACCAGTCCAGATTTGATGCATGAGACAGGGTGCTCAGGGCTGGTGCACTGGGATGACCTTGAGGGATGGGGTGGGGAGGGAGGTGGGAGGGGGGTTCAGGATGGGGAACACTTGTACACCCGTGGCTGATTCATGCCAAAGTATGGCAAAACCCACTACAATATTGTAAAGCAATTAGCCCCCAATTAAAAGAAAGTAAATAAAAAAAAAAACTTTCTGACTACAATAAATAAATAAATAAATTAAAATGTCATCAGAATATTACCTCTGTCTTTCGGAACAGGCAACTGCCTGGGCAGGAGATCAACTTTCTGTATACACTTTTCATTCTTTTAATTAAGTTTTTATTGAAGTATAGGCAATTCATAACGCTGTGTTAGATTCTGGTGTGTAATTAAGTGATTCAGTTAAACATATTCTTTTCCAGATTCTTTTCAATTATTGTTTATTACAAGATACTCAATATAGTTTCCTGTGCTGTACAGTTAATCCTGTTGGTTATCTATTTTATATATAGTAGTGTGTATCTGTTAATCCCGAACTCCTAATTTATCCCTCTCCCACCCCCTTTCCTCTTTGGGAACCATGTTTGTTTTCTGTCTGTGAGTTTGTTTCTGTTTCATAAATAAGCTCACTTGTATCATTGTTTTAGATTCCACTTAGAAGTGATATCATATGTTTTTGTTTTTTTCTCTCTGACTTTATTTACTCTGATAATCTCTAGATATACCCATACGGGCTGCAAAGGGCATTATTTCATTCTTCTTTATGACCAATATTCCATCGTATATACACTTTTAAAATAGACTTAATTTCTGGGATTAGTTTTAGGCTCACAGTAAAGTGGAGCGGAAAGTACAGAGAGCCGCCACATTCCCCCTTCCCCAAGCACACAGCGTCCCCATAGAGAGCTACACTGACTGCAGTCCATGAACCTACACCGACACGTCATTATCCCTCAGAGTCCACTGCTGATATGGGGTTCACTCTTGGTGTTGTACATTCCAGGGATTCTGACAAGTGTCCCTGACGTTTACCTACCATTATATAGCTGAACAATCTATGCAAAGCACTATTAGCAAACAATGTATTTATTGTAGAAAATACCAATGTGTAAGGTTATTTTAGAAAAATCTATAATAAAAGTATATGATACTTGTAGAAATTCAGTGTCATTCTTCTGACAGGTGGTGTTATATAAGGTGCTGCATGCTATGTACTCAGTCATGTCTGACTCTTTGTGACCCCACGGACCACAGCCCACCAGGCTATGGATTTCCCAGGCAAGAATACTGGAGTGGGTTGACATTCCGCCTCCAGAGGATCTTCCCAACCTAGGTATCAAACCCGCATCTCCTGTGTCTCCTGCATTGCAGACAGATTCCTTACCAGCTGAGCCAATAACATTTGTGTGATTATATAAGGTAGTTTTTGATAACTGCTTCCAATTATATCTCTCATTCTCTTTTCCTTTTTTTCCAGTAATAACTTAAAAATTTTCCATCAGAACCTTCATACCTGACATGATGCCCTCCTTAGGAACAAATTTCCTTCTACCAACGCTGATCTAATATCTTATCAGCTTGAAGCAAACTAAAAACCAACAAGCTCTTTGACAATAAATCCTGTGTTCAAAAGGTGTATGGTGTCAGAGGACTCCTGCTATGTGTCAAGATCTATCACTCGATAATCTTCCCAGATTAATTTCCTTTTGGACCTCTACAGTAGATGTGCCAGACGCCCCTTACTGGTCAGCACATCCATCCCCAGGTTCTGGGACTTGGCCACTCAAGGCTCACAGTGGCCTCCTTCTCAGGAAACACTGCTCCCAACCACTTTGGGTTGGTTAGGCCACTTCTGACCCCCCCCTGCAGGCAGCACCCAGACAACGAGGGGCTGACACAGGGATATACAAGATCACCTCGCCTGCCTCCCTGTGGGATCAACGCTGGTACAATTCATGCTCCAGAGCCCCCTGTGGGATCAGGTGGGAGGCAGTCTCCAGTGGAGACCACGTCCTTTTTTAATTTTCCCCACCACCCAGGGCTTCCCGCTCCCCTTCTCCCGAGAGTACACACTCAATAAATCAGTCACATGAAAATTTCCCAAGGCAGGTTCTGTTTCCAGGGACCCCCGCTCAATACAGCTTCTAATTACATTTCTCTCAGTCATAGAGAACAGTGTATGGTTTATTCTTTATCCTTCTCATCTTTCCCCACCCTATGACTGTAAACTGCTTGCTTTTCATTTCTAAAACTGTGTTCAAATTTAAATATATAGTATATATAATCAAGGGCTTCCCAGGTGGCACTAGTGGTAAGGAACCTATCTGCCAATGCAGGAGATTTAAGAGATGTGGGTTTGACCCCTGGGTTGGGAAGATCCCTTGGAGTAGGAAAAAGCAACCCACTCCAGAATTCTTGCCTGGAGAATCCCATGGACAGAGGAGCCTGGCAGGTTACAGTCCATGGGGTCGCAAAGAATCTGACACGACTGAAATGACTTAGCATGCATTGACATATGTAATTAATGATATTAACATAATATCATTAATATATAATGATATATTACATATTAGCACAAGTTTTAAAATAATGTAGGATTAGTCTTTTTAGGTGTCTTGCTGGCAAAACTTTATTTTTTGCTAAAAAGGCATCAGTCTGGCTGGGGCATCCACAGTAATGCTATTTCCACCAACTGTTCCTTGACAGGGTCCTAAACCCAGTGCTGAGGCAGGAGAGAAAAATGAATTACATAAGGAATGATAGCTCTGTCAGCAAGATTGGGAGTGAACACTCCGCTAAGCTCAACTATGGTAATTTGAGGAAAAAGCATAGGGTTTAGAGCCATGCTGACTTGATTGGATCTGCTTCTATCACAGTTCTTATTCTCGCTGAAATAATAGATCTTAGATCGTCTATAAGTAGCATACAGGGCACCACGCACAACTGGCCTAGAAAAGGCACTTGAAAGCAAGGATTTATGCCTATGTTGTTTACCACCACACACTTACCACCTTGCTACACTGTGTGTGAGGGTATACCTAGTCTTTCAATCGAGTCTGACTCTTTGTGATCCTATGGACTCTAGCCCATCAGGCTCCTCCGCCCGTGGGATTTTCCAGGCAAGAATACTGAAGCGGGTTGCCATTTCCTACTCCGGGGGGGTCTTCCCCATCCTGCGTCTCTTGAGTCTCCTGCATTGGCAGGCGGATTCTTTACCACTGTGCCACCTGGGAAGGCCCCCTCACTACATGATAAACATTCAAGCATTTGTTTGATGAATCAATGAATTAGGTATTTTCTACTAGGAATTTCAATGTTGATACTAATTTGTGTAGACTTGGGAAAAAAAATCACATTT